GCTTTGGAAAATAAGTTGACACCCCCCCCCCCTTTGTGGCAGCCTCTCAATTACAGGAATACTGCTGTGCCATAATGTCCCCCACCCCCAGTCCTTCTTTTCTCTAAAGTAGCCAAACCCAAATCCTGCAATTCTTCTTCATATGTTTCAATCTCCAGGGCTTAAATTATTTTAGTTGATCTTCTTTGCACTTTTTCCAAAATCTCAACATCTTTTTTTGTAGTCTAATGACCAAAACTGGATGCATTATTCCAGGTGTGGTCTTACTAAGCTTGTATAAAGTTTTTATTTTTTATATGAGTTTGATTCTATGCCTCTGTTTATACAACCCAGGATTGTATTAGCTTTTTTGGCTGATGCCACACTGCTAGTTCATGTTTAAATGATCACACAATAAGACTCCAAGGTCCCTCTCACAATTACTGTTTTTGTGCCAGTTTTGCCTAATCTGTAGTTATAACTTTGAATTTTTCTGCCTAAATGTAAAACTTTGCTTTTCTCCACATTAAAATTAATGTTTGTTGGATAGGGCCAATTTTCAAGTCTCTCAAGATCCTTTTGGATCCTTAGCTTGTCTTTGGGGATGTTGGCAGTCCTGTCAGTTTAGTGTCATCTGAAAATTTGATGAGTTCTCCTTCTATTCCCTCATCTAAGTCATTTATGAAGATATTGAAGAGTACTGGACCTAAAACAGGACTTGTGGTATCCCACTGCTTACATCCCTCCATGTAGATATACTACATTAAGAACTACTCATTGAGAACTTTGTGTCAGCCAGTTACAAATCTATCTGGTGGTCATGCTGTCTATCCCACATTTTTCTAGAAGTACCATATTTTTCAGAGTATAAGGCGCAGCTTTTTGCCTCAAAAAAGAGGCTGAAAATCTGGGTGCGTCTTATACATCGAATACAGTATTTTTTGACTCCCAAAGCCCCATTCCCCAACAAAATGAATATCCTTATGGAGGCTTTCAGAGAGCTCCTGGAGGCTGTGGAGGGCAGAAATGAACGATACACTGGCCATTTCTTGCCCCCCAGCCCCCAGCAGCATTTTATAAGCCTCCATAAGGCTATGCATGCAATTCTTTTGACAAAAAATGTTTTTGTGAAAAATGGGCCATTTTTTGCTCATTCCCCCCCACTCCCTCCCAGGAGCACTCTTCAAGCCCGCCCCCAAGGCTATTCATGCCTCTTTTTTGAAAAAAAGGGTCCATTTTCACAAAAAACGGGTCGTTTTGGGGAGGTTTGCAGAGTGCCAAAAAATTTTTTTTTCCCTTTCAGAAAATTGTTTAGTTAGAGTGGTTGATGAGAATTACATTGATCAAGTGCTGTCCCAGGAGAAACAAAGTTTTAGGTGCTACAAGTTGTCAGCTATTTCCTTCTCCAGCACATGGATGAATACACCTGGAAACATCTACCTACTTTCTCTCTCTCTCCCTACCTATCTACTGTATTTCTCTCTCTCTCTCTTTCTCTCTCTCTATCCCTCTATCTACCTACCTACTTACTTTCTCTCTCTCCCCCCTACCTATCTACTGTATTTCTCTCCCCCCTCTATCTACCTATATACCTACCTACTCTCTCTCTCTCCCCCACCTATCTACTGTTAGTTGCTGCAGATTGTCATCGATTTACTTCTCCAGTACATGAATAAATACACCTGGAAACATCTACCTACCTACCTACTCTCTCTCTTTCCCTACCTATCTACTGTATTTCTCTCTCTCTCTCTTTCTATTTCTCTCTCTCTATCCCTCTACCTACCTACCTACCTACCTANATAGAAAATGAAGAAGTTAAATTGCTCTGGGATTTTAGAATTTAAATAGAGAGGCACCTGCCATATAACACCCCAGATTGTTGATAGGAAAGACAAAAAAGTCTGGCTAGTGGATGTGACAGTGCCTGGAGACAGAAGAATAGAAGAGAAAGAATGGGAAAAGATAACAAAATACAAAGACCTACAAATAGAAATAGAATGACTGTGGCAAAGGCAAGCAAGGGTAGTACCAGTAGTAATAGGTGTCTTAGATGCAATCCCAAAACAATTGGAGCACCACTTGGACACCATTGGCATTGACAAAGTGCCATCAGTCAATTGCAAAAAGGCAGCTTTACTGGGAGCAACTTTAATCATGTGACAATATCTATAACACCATCAAATATCCACGTCTACCTATCGCAGGTTCTTGGTAAGATCTCGATAGGTAGACAAAAATGCCAAACCCAGTCTGAAAATCTGGCTGACAATGCAATGAATCCAGGGGTGGGTTTCAAAAAAATTTACTACTGGTTTAGTGGGCATGGCTAGATGGGGGGGAAGCATGTGACTGAGTGGGTGGGGCCAACTTGACATCACTCATGCACATGCCCACTCAGTCACATGCCCCTTTGCAGGCTGGCAAGAAGTCTCACTTTTACCACCGCCGCAGCTGCTTCCACCTCAGCACTGAACAGTCCATGCCATCCCCCTACAAACTGATGCCACAGGAGGGCAGGAAAAAAGATAGTTTTGAAAAAGACCTTCCCTCCCCCTCCAGGAGAGAGGAGGAGGGCTGGTTTGAACACAGGTGGGCAGTTTGTGTTTGGTGCCTCCTTCACTTGATGGGGCGGGCGCAGCAAGACACATGTCATAGCAGCACCTGCACCGCCTCTGTCCCCTTTTCTCAGGGTGGGCACCAAAGATTCCTGGGGTTGAGAAGGTTACATGGTCGGTCAGTCCTGCACACACAAGGCAGAAAATCCCTGGGCACTGATCCTTATCAGAGAAAAGAGAGAGCTCTGGGCAGGAGCCATAGGAGGAGGGCGGTGGCTCTTCTTCTTCTTTGCCTCTGCCCAGAGAAGGATGCTCCCAGCGCAAGGAGACCAAGAGAAGGAGGCTCAAGGTGGCTCTCCACCCTAACCTAGAGGTGGCCAGGGATTGCTCTCACCCTCAGACAACAGCTCCCCCTCCCCCCTCCTCAAGCTTGGCAAGGAATCCCGCTCCTCTCACTCTCCCATCAGATCACAGATCTCCTGAGCGAACTCTTCCATCCTCAGCTGTTGTGAAGAAGCGGTGACTCTGGATGCACCATGCCTGCTTCGTTCTCTTTGAGAGCCGTTTTGCATCAGCCGAGGACCTCTTCTCCTTGGAGCTTCAGGTGGTGGGGGTGAGCTCTCAGCACTTTTTCCACTGACGGGAAAAAATGCTGAGGGGGATCCTCGTTTATCTTTCGCCTGCTGCTTGGAACTTGCCGCCGCCACCCCCACCTCTGCTTAGAGCTCCAGGTGGCTGGCGATAGAGTGGGGATCACAATTACATTTGTATAAAAAAGGAATCAATAACCATTGCTATTTATGAGATATAACAGGAATCATATCTCATTTAAAAATACATTTTTGAAAAGTCTTAATATTATTATATTTGGAACATATATGCTTCAGACAGATTTGGGTTTTAATTTTTGGTGATAGCTATATTCTTTTGACTATTTCATGGAAATTGTGGCTGGAAAACAAAAATGGATTCTCTCTGCCATTCTTAGCAGTAGGAGACTTTTTGTTTAAGATTACAAAGGAACATTTATGGCCTCAAATAGCCAATGGACTGAAGACTTCATGTTACTTACAAATTCTGAATGAATTGTGTAGTAACAGAAATTATCCATTGACAATTATATTATAATACTAGAAACCTTTACATTGTTGGGTAATTGTTTTAAGTATTTCCTTATCTAAGCAGAAAAAGAGAATGACAAGGGAGAGCAAAGAAACCAATGGGGCCAAACTTCCTGCCAGCTTCCCCACTGAGTTTCCTTTTGGGAAGCTGGCAGGAAATATTGGAATCCTCCCTCCCTCCCTTTCTTTTTCGTGGTCAGCACCACAAAACCTCCTGGAGTTTTCCCCATTCATAATACTTTGCATAGATGGGGAAGGAGGAAAGGAAATGCTCATGCTGAATTAGTTTTAAGCATAATTCAATGACCCTTTGAATGATTCCTTCCTTACCTGATAAATCTGGAAGTTGGTGAGCATCAACATCTGCAACAAAAGATGGATTAGAATTAGTGAAATATACATAAAATGGGTAAGTCATAGAATACTTTTTTTTAAAAATTAAGTAAATGCATGGGTTTATAACTTCTATGAATGTCTAGCAATATCACTTAGACTTATATACTGCTTCACAGTGTTTTATAAGCATCTTTAAGTGGTTTACAGAGTCAGCATATTGCCCCCAACAATCTGGGTCCTCATTTTACTGACCTCAGAAGGATAAAAAGCTGAGTCAACCTTGAGTCAGTCAGAATCAAACTGCTGAACTGCAGGTAGCCTGCAGAACTGCATTCTAACCACTGTGCCACTATGGGTCTTAACATTATATACATTATAAATGGTCTACATTTATAATGTATATTTGATTTCTTATAATTTCTGCGCCTTTCTATACATTTATTTTCCTCTTTCCCCTTTTTCTTTTTCTGATGGACTTGAATGGCCCACAATGGTGAAAATTATAGTAGCTGACTGTGCCCTTGCCTTCTCTCCCACCTCTGGGTTGCTTGGAAGAAGAATTGCCACTCAACTCTTTCCCAAGACACTACTAAGCTAAAGGGATATTATGATCAACAGTATCAAAGCCATCCATACCATCTTCATCACGTCATCAAGCTCCCAATTTGGATAACAATTACTTTGTTTTTTCCAATTACGTATATATATATCTCTCTCTCAGCCATTCAAGTTTTAAAGCGGACTGAGCTCTTCACCATATTTCAGATAAACAGGGTTTCAATGGTGCTGCGTCAGTCATTCAATCTTTTCAATCTTCTCTGGCCTCAGTAATTTCATGAAATTGCAGCCCCCTAGATCTTTGGCAGCACTTCAAAGAGTGAGTGGGTTGTTCCCTCCTTCAAGAAGGCTGCTATTTCTACATAGACCAATGTGTTGCCATCCAATAGAACATCAGGCAAACTAAAGCAGTGATGTAGGTTGCATCAAGGCACCAATAGGATTAAGGTTCTGGGATACTTATTGCCTCTCAAATTTAGGATTCCTGATGTAGAAATGCACATAGGGCTGTCCTTCTCCAAAGTCAAGTCTCAAATTCTTTCCACTTGGGGTCCTGAGAGAGAATAGGATAGGATAGGATAGGATAGGATAGGATAGGGTGGAAGGGGAGGGAAGGGGAGAAGAGAAGCGAAGAGAAGAGAAAGGGAAGGGAGGAATGGAATGGAATGGAATACAATCGAATCTGGAAGGGACCTTGGAGGTCTTCTAGTCCAGTCCCCTGCTCAACTAGGAGAACCTATACCATTTCAGGCAAGTGACTGTGCAGTCTCTTCTTAAAAACCTCCAGTGATGAAGAACCCACAATTTCTGATGGCAAGATGTTCCACTGGTTAATTGTTCTCACTTTTGGGAAGTTTCTTCTTGATTGGTTTTCCATCCAGTGTTTCTTTTCCTGCCCTCTGGTGCTTTGGAAAATAAGTTGACCCCCCCCCCCCCTTTGTGGCAGCCTCTCAATTACAGGAATACTGCT